GTTCAGTCACACCGTGTTAAATATTTTATAATATTTGGTTCTCAGGGTTTAATTTAAGTCTACAGCTTATTGCACCTTTTAATTTTTGCAATAATCTTACGACAGGTTATTGTGTATTAAAATTGTATTCTGTCAGCTTTATTTCACGAAAATAGGTCGAACACTGAAAACAACTTAGCTTGGATATTGTTTTCTTTGCAGATTATCGTGTCGCAGTTTATTCGCCGATTTTTAGCAGGTGTCAATCAAACATGACACGCTACTGCAGGAAATTTCAATGAGAATCATTTTAAATTTCATTCCCAGTTTGGCAAAACGATTTCACTGGCAAAATTTGAGCGATGTATGAACTTCATGTGATCTGCTATGGACTTCACTTTTCCATTTGCCCATTTGTCTGTAACGGCTGGTTTTCTTATGATGGTACGCTTGCTACAGGAAAGTTGAGCGATCCTTAGCTTACGACTTCCCACGCTATCTCTACACTCGCCGAGATTAAAATTGGCCCATTTCGCTTAATTCTCACAGTAAATTATTTTTATTTCTCACACGAAGTTGGTTTAGTCATCATAGCCGCTATTAAAATATATTTTTTTAAAACTTTTCTTCATATTGTTAAGTTGGTGCACAGGCCGACGAAAAATTCACAAATCCGAAGTGCAATGTCCAACACTCAATGATCAAGTTGCGGTGTTGTTAGAGTGTTCCGTAACAGGACATAACAGCTTAGCAGCAGAATTAAATTAAAAATAAAAGGAATTTTAGATTCTCTTAAATTATATCCAGACCAGATTCTTTAAGAATATTGTTAAAACTTATTTGCATTTATGCTCTTGCGCAACTTTTTTACTAAGATGACATAAAGAACCTGCCTGGTGTCGTTTCTGACATGCACTCGTCGGCTAGCAATTTTGACAAGTGTAAAACTAATCAAGGATCTGTTGCTCCTTCAAACTAAAAAAAAAACAAAACAAAACAAAACATGAACTAAATCATTTGTTTCTGTGATACCCAAAGCAGAAACGGGAAAAAAAATAACAAACCAAAAAGTGTCAGCGAAGGAAAGCCGCAATTATTACAGTTGTCAGTATTGTGACACGAAATTTTGACAATTCATCCTTGCTTTTGTCGAGTCAATCAAGATTTTCGCTCAGCGCAAGTTTTCTGCCTGGTTTACAAAAATGTAATGTTTATTTCAATGCCTATTTTCTGTCCTACGAGGTTAAATAAAGTTGACGACGACGCCAAACTGCCACCCTTAAAATATATATGTACTTTGGGTTCAAACACAGGAATTAAAACCCTGTTATGGTCTTTGAATTTTACAGATTATCGTTGCTGTTGGCCAATTCCCGTTCGTTGACGATTGGAAATGGTTTCCTGATTTGAAACAATGTTATCCGATTCCTTGAGGAAGCGCATTGAAATTGAATTGTATTGTATGAATCCGATTGAGCTTTCTGTTCCCAACTGCGACATTGGAGAACTAACAACATTTCGCTAATTGGTTTGAAAAGTTGATGTTTTCCACTTCACAATTTGACAGATTTGAATATTGAGTAAACGAGTCGACTTCAGTATTTTTTGCGCTAATGTAAATGAATTTTACCAAGGTGAGAAACTGCGCACGGGAGGTGTAGAGCAAGTAGCTGTAATAAAATGGAAAACAGCTAGGAATGAACGCTTTTGTTTCAGACATGGAAAGCAAGGATTAATTATTTTCTTCGCTTAACGAACGTGACTGCGGGCGAGAACAAGCTATATTAAACTGTCCGAGTTAAATATACCTGAACATAAATAATCGATTTTGTAGTTACAACCTTAATTTTCTATACATCTCCACAGACCTTGCGTCAAGATTAGTAAATTGGGGTTTAAATTATTGTATGAACAACATAAGAGGGCCGGCTGTATTCAGTGTAGAAAAAATATGCTAATTTGAAAGGTTTTAGAGATGCTCTTTGTAGATACAACTACTTTTGCAGTTAGGAAGTACTGTTCATCCAAGAGGTTGATTTTGCGCGCCAGCATCGAAAGAAAACTAAGCGGCAACAGCTGGCGAAATCTATTCCGGTTTTTTTTTTTTTCTATCGGTTGTAAAACATCAGTAACTGCGGAGTAGATTAAATATATTTTTCTTTCGTTAAGGTTACTCTGTTGTTTCTCAGCATAAACTGATATGTTTTCTCTCCGAAGGCAGCAATAGTAGTCAGCAAATGTTGTTGTCTTCTACGAATGAATTCACCTTGAGAACGCGGAACATTTTCACATATCAATTTGGGAAGTGGCTCCGGTGGACATATTTCTGTCCAAGTCGCTGTTGCATCCAACCTTGGCGTTTCCTCTCGCTCTTTCTTTCTCAAGTTGTCGTCGCCAGTAAAGACAACAGATTATCAGTGTGAAAACACACAAAGCCAGCACCCCGAAAAACACACCAACAATGAGAATTGTCTTTTCGGATTTTTCTTGGCTCACCATTAAGCTGGAAGTTAATTTCTGGCCTGAAAGTGTAAGATTTCACACCGTTTTCTAGGTGAAACACGCCTCTACAAGTCACTTGTTTGCATACAAGCACATGGCTGTTGTTAGTTCACGCTACAAAGAGGTTATAAACAGCGGGAGTTAGCGTCAATTCGTGCGAAGACCTCTCTTTGCAGCTTGAGTTTGGGTATTTGAAGACTGCAAGAGACAGAGAAGCTCAGTCGTCCTTGTTCGTTTTGTAGAGAAATCGGTTGTACTTTCCGCGATCAGGTTTCCAGACTGACGAAAGAGACTTTTGGCAGGTGGATATCAAACAACGAACTGTAACACGTGACAACAAGTTTCGCCGTCGTGGCGGGAAAGGAAATTGGAAAACCGCTTTTTGCTTACGCCGCAAGAAAGATTAAATCATGCATTGTCTCCTAAATCTTAACTAACATTTTAGCTACGTCGCGAGCAGTTTGTACAGACGGCGAAAAACCAACAAATTCATGGAGTCCCTGACTTATTGATTTAACTGTCACCATGGTTTATTGCTGTTATAAAATGGAACAATACAAAAACTGCAAAGTTATGTCGCTCAATTCATTTTAATGTAAAACAAAAGGAAACTCGCGTAACTGGCAAATGGCTCGAAACGAGAATACATTTATTTACTTCTGACAAAAAGCTCAAGCTGCAATACGGATTTTTGGGGGGTGCAGCTTAACTTGATTTGCATAATAGTTTCTAAGATGACTGACGGATGAGGCTTTTGCGATCGCGCCACGGGTTTTGAATATCTCAGGAAGTGCAATAAAAGGAACAAACAAATTAAAACGTAGTTTATTTTATTTCTTTTCCTAAGTATTAAATCACAGATGTACTTTGGTTTCTGAATTAGAATTTTGAGGAAATGACATCTGAACTGGTATAATTTAGTTGGGAGTCGTCGCATTTCACACTAACAACAGAATTTCAGTGGTAACCATCGGGCTCTTAAAGTGTTAATTGCGGTTTTTTTCCATTAAAAAGGATTGCACTGTGTCTCTTAACGAGTATATATATATTTTTTACAAAAAGGTTTGGCATGTTTTCGCAGGTCCTCTCGGTCATGTCGTATTTTACAAGCAGTTTTCAGCGTCATAAACTTGTCATTATGTCATTTACTGATTGAATTTATTGATTTAAGATACGAATTGCTGTCTGTATCGCACGGTGTTCAAAAGGCCGGAAGAAACAAAAGGTCTTTCGGTTCAATTAAGCCAAATCTCTGAGATCTTTTGCTAACAAATACCTCCGGTAAGCGATAGCGGTCGGTACATGACCTGTAATGGATGCCTCAGTGACAGCGTGTTTTCGTTCTTCACACCGCCAACTATATGGCCCCGTCCACATTACTCAGAAGAATTTGAAAACGGTGTTTTCACTCGGAAAACGCATCAAATGTTTTCCGTCCGCACTACGCCGGAGAAATTTGAAAACACAACAATCACCGATCATTTTGGATTTGAATTTCTGTTTGAGGAAAACTGTGGCAGGGAAATCCCATGAATATCGTGACATCATCGTTAACGAAAATAAAAGCTTCGTTTTCAAAATGTTTTCCGTCCACATTAAAACGAAAAGCCGGCGTTTTCAAATTCCTCCGGTTTGAAGAGCGTCTTTCGAAAAGCTTCGTTTTCATGACGGATTTATAGTGAGGACGGTAGGCCTAACCGTAGAAATAAAGCTGGTGGTGCGGGACGGGGCCTAATTAATTAGAAAACACCAGGCAAGAGATCACGGATCAAATGTGACTGAGGTTGCAATTTGTTGAGAATTGGCATTCAGTCTAGGGTTTAGTTTTCAATTTATTTGTCCGTGTCCTTTACAAATGTTCCTACGTGCTTTCGCCGAGTCGTGTAAAGTGAGGGGCTAAACACTAGTGTAAACACGCGATCACTCAATTTCCAACATGCAGTCAGTAACTGAGCCATCATTACAAAATATATCCGTTGCAGGAATAATACACAGGTATAATAGAACACTCTGTTAGTAGCTCAGACGGCAAATGTTATTACCATATTTGACGTGAGATTTTCGAATTACAGAACACTTTAGATTGCACACATTTGCATTTAAAAGCTGTAAAAATTTCAAAAATAAAATGCCCGGCATATGTTTGAAGATATCTTCACGGCATTTGCGTTTGCTGCTCTGTTAGGCTTTGGATGAAGGCAACAAAAAATGTTTGACGCTGCTCTTTAGGACAGAATTTATCCGTACGATTAGGTAAAACACAATAATTTTCTGACAGCGGACTCTGTTCTCAGCTGGTCAAACCCAAACCAAATTTTCTGCCTAAGCATGTGAAATAGTTCTAAATAAATGTTTCAACCTGTAATCTGCAATATCATTTTGCCTGCTTGCACAGATTATATTATCGAGATATTTTCTGCCTTTAGTAAATCACAAACCAGCCATATTCACTGGCATATTCGCCCGCGATAAAAGATGACAGCTGCCGTGTTTAAAAGTGCACGCGCAAGTGCGCGCTGATTTTCAAATGACGAAAAATGAAAATAGAACTTTAACGAACTCAAAGAAGTTATCAAAATATGTCTTGTCCACTTTTGTTTGCATGTCAGGAGGCTATAATCTCATCTTAGCCATGTAGAAGAATGAAGATATTTAAAGTTCTGCTTCTTTTAGCTTGTTCGCCTCCAACAAGCGAGGATTTGATCGCTAAAAGTAGCATCACCATTTGTGAAAATACCGGCGGTGGAGATGATCCCATGAGTGTTGTGTACGAGAAAGCCTGCGAGAAAAAGCTTATTGTTACCATGTCAGTCCGAAGTGGCCAGGTAAGAACGTCAACATTTCTAGTGTCTTTGTACTGTCTGTAAGTTTACCGTAAAATAGACAGAGGCTTGTAAAAGGTTCCTATTTTTCGTGATGAAAATTTTGGTAATCACGAAGACTTATCTCGTGAAGACAACAACAGATTATCATCCGTCTGTTCTTACAAGCGTAATCCTTCGTGGACCCTGAAAAAAATTGGCGGTGTTATAAAGATATCGTCCAAAGCCTAATTAAAGATGCAAACAATTTATAAGAACGTTCGTTTCAAGATGGTGCGAAATTTCTTTTCTCGAGAACTGAGCTTTACGGCAGTTTTGTTTTTGAGTTTATACGGAACCGGCAAAGCATCGATGTTTGTAGAAAAGATAATATGACGACGATGACCCCAAGATTATTAAAATTTCTTCATTTCGTTTGGTTTCAGAATGGTTCAGAGATGTTGAAAACAGTGTCGAACGTCAGCAAGGTGTACGACGAAGTTGAGAAAGAACAAGCTCGCCTGTACAATCCATTTATTATAACTCTGGCAAAAACACCAGTTCAACTTGTTTATCCCTATTACTATAGAGGGGTAAGTAGCAAAATAACACACAAATGAATAAAGCTCCCAGCAAATGAGGGGAGGGGAGGGGAGGGAGTTAGGTGAGCAGTTTTCGCCACAGAGGTTTTTCAAGTTGCTCGGAGAACTGTTCACCTTGAATTCAGCCCCCCTGAACAGTTGAGCGATTTTCACTTTGAAGAACCGGCCTTTATCCCCTCGTAAATCCACAGCTACTTTCACAATGTTATGACAAAATTCATGATCAGTAACAGGACAGACGCATGAAGAACAGACGTCAATTATCAACCAACCTCGAGCGTAGATGAAAAGCTGCGCGAGAGCGAGAACACGCACGCGGCCTCATACACGCGAGGAAAAGCTTCCCAACTCGCTCTCTGGCCCGCGCGCCTTCCCACTCCCAATTCAATTTCCCATATATAGGGAGCCTCTGCGCAGGAAAGAGGCTATTACTTTATTTTACTGAGTCTAGTTGTTGTATTTTAGGTGGTAAATAATAAACCAGAGGAGAAAGTGAAAGTGAGTGACAACGGTGCGCTGGCGACTGGGTCACGCAATCTCTGTGATGACATGTGGGATGCATCCAATGATGAATCTACTTGTGGGTTTGACCGAGATGCGAATGGAAACAAAATTTGGGACAGTCAGGTACAAATATGTCACTTGAATCCTATAAAGCAGAAGATGAAGCTTATCCAAGTTTACGTAGCATGAAGTGACTAGGAATATTTCTACTACCCTGGCCCTGGATGGGATGCTAATCCATCGCAGGGTTAGCGCCAGCATTGAATTTGCCAGTGCTCATTTATACACCTAGGTGGAGAGAGGCACTGTGCTAGTAAAGTGTCTTGCCCAAGAACACAACACAATATCCCCGGCCAGGGCTCGGACTGAACGCTCGATCCGGAGGCAAGCACACTAAGCATGAGGCCATCGCACCTCCTGCCCACTCGGGGGAAGTCTAAAATTCGGAGACGTACCGCTCAAAATAAGATGCGCTGAGTTATCTTCTTGGTTGTTAGATTTGTGATTCTATTTTATTTTATTATCATGTCTGTTTTAAAGGGATTTTGCTGTTGGTGCAGTGAACAGGACAAATGGCGCGGCTCTTTTGGGGACACGACACCATTCAGCCGAGCTGGACTCTCGTGCAAAGTGTTCACCAAGGCGCAGGCCGCTGCTCACTGCATGAAGTACGACGACTTATGGTACGTGTCAATCACTTTCTGCATTGCCAAATACAGCCAATCAGGAAGCCACTAATATTGTGAGGAACCAATCAGAACTGGAGCGAAAGAAGAAATGTGTAAGCTTTCGTAAGCCCGGGAAAATCCAAGCTTCACTGGGATTACTTAGAGCATACTGCACGACTTTTATGATCCAATTAAAAGACATTGTCGGAAGTCCCCGTGAACTAGTAATTCGACTAGCTCTTGCTGATATTAATTGTCTGAAAGACTCTGACTCTTAACGTCATGCTTTCCAACTCGCTACTGAGACGTTATTTTGTGTCAATAGAGAGGATTTTCTAGCACCAGATCGGTGGAGAACTAATTAAGATAACACTTTCCCAGGAAGTGTGGCTTATGACAAGGACATAATTCAGCACGGTAACAGCTCCTTATCTCCTTGCAGGTACACAGTCAATGAGCTCGGAAGATGGGAAATGGAATTCGGTATTCACGTGAAAACTTATGATCAAGTGACAACGAAAGTAGGGAATATAACCAAACCTAAGTGGGTCCCTGGTGGAGAGATAGTGATAGGGCCTCATGTGCGGATGGGAAGAGGCAAATACGGCAGGGTGAGTACATTGCGTGACATAATTTTGTCGCGTTAGCTTGCATTGGACGGACTGTAAGTTTTTGTGAAGTTAAGTAGGATTTAGTGAAGTGAGAGAGTATGAAGCAATGAAAAAGTGGTCTCGATAGTTTCGTTTGACAAATGTGATTAGCGACACAATCTCGAGAAAAGAATCTTTGCGGCGAAACAGAGCTAAGTATGTGTATTATTGGGGAGTTTCAGCAAACCACAGATGGCAACGGCAACGAGAACGTCACCAAACAAAAGGTTTAATGAGCAGAACAATGGCTTTGCAAGTGCGTTATAAATCTTTTGCATTTCGTAGCTGTCCTCTGCAAAACAACAACAAGAAATGACTAAGTTCTGAGTATTTTGGAGAGCGTTAGCCACGACGGCTAATTTTTCGTACTTCCTTTACAAAGCCCCCTTTAAATGGCTCATTAACTTTGAGTTTCTGGATTAGCCATTTTTTGCTACCGTGTTATTTAACAGCTCCTCGCAAGTTATATTGGCGAGTTTCAGAGCCACAGGCAGTTTCCCACACTGACTGAGAAGTTCCTACTTATTCCGTACGTCACTGATAAAGTTGATCCCAAGGCTCACCCGCAGGTAGTGGTAAGAACATTTCCTTGCTGGACCTTGCTGGTAAGATTAACAGATAGAATGACTGCAGATGACGACACATACTGATAACATAATGCGATATCTGAGAGATGTCTAAAATTTAGAGGCTTGAAAATGCAGTAGCCAGTATCCTGGGTATATTAAGTGAAGGAAAAGGTATTTCAAATGACTGATTTTTTTTTTTTTCGGGCGAAGTTGTATTGTATTTTTTTGAAGAAACCATTTTATGTTTTACAGATCTATAAGATACACTTTGAAGGATTTTCCAGGGTCATTTTTAGAGCCTACATGCTCGCATGCGCAGGCTATTTTCATTTCGTGCAGAATTAAATCCCCGGCTGAATTTATCATTATTTTGACTTGACTTGCAGAACGGACCTATGGATTATATGATAATCGACAAACATGAAGTAAATTACAAACCGAGCGGACCTCATCAATGCGACAAGATAGGCGTTACTTACACGGCATTTCGGAATCAACAACCTGCGGGGTGCCAACAAAAAAAGGGCGCGTAAGTAACACAGCTGAAATAGTCATTTAGCAATTCTTCTTCTTGCGCATGTTGGATATGAAAAGACAGATAGCGCCGAGTTGGCTATAACAATGTCATATCCAACAAGCGCAAGTGGAATAATTGTTTTACTAAGAACGTCTGCAAGACATAGAAAACTAAACTAAAATTAAAAAATATATATGCGTTCGCTTTCCATATTTAAGAGCATTGGTATTAATTGCTAAATACCATAATGGCTAAGCCAACAAAAACTCATTGAATTGCATTATTCAATGATCCAGTTTTTAATAGTGTTTGATAACCCCAAAGAACGTTTCGATTATAGTTGTTTTTAGTACGTCAGTAACGCATTTGGAAATTAGTATTAAAATAGCGGAGTCCTATCAGCTTGCTTACTTTTGGCAGTTTATAAAGAGAGCACTTCTCTTCTCTCTTAGATGTCTCAATAATCAGCCTAAAGATTATTTTGAAGAAGATCAGGTATGTCCGATGGTGTTGTAATTCAGCCGCTTAGTGACGCAAAGCCGTATGTGAGCTTGTCTTAAGACATGTTCTTTTGGGATCAATCGTTTTTGTTTTGTTGGGGTTTTTCGTGTTCTATCGGGAAAACCCGTTTTCGGTTGGTTTGACTGACCAACTTTTTCAACCGACCTCAAACCAGGTTGAAACGGTTGAAAAAGCATTTGCATTATTAAAACTATTATTATGTCGCGTGAAGACTGTTGCCAGGAGTTACCGTGTTTCAACCAAAAACGGAAAAACTTCTGTTGAGAAACTTCATACGTACAAACCCCAACCAGTTGCGGTTGAAACGGTTGATTCCAATGAAACACAACCTTACTGTGTCTGTTTTATTACTCATACGTAGAAAATTTTTATTTCTGTTCAAGAGTCGTCGTAATGCAGGTCAGACTCCATATTACTTCCCTGAGAAGTTTGGCAAGCTGGTAGGCGTCAAGAATCGGCCCATATCCGACAAACAGGAGTTTATGCTGACCTATGAAATCGACGAAGTTATGACGAGTATGGTGACCCTTCAAATCAGCGCTGACGATATCATTCTGATTTATAACAGGTTCGTCAGTACAAGAAATAAAATGTAAAAAAAGTGTTAAATGTTTAATGTTTATAGTGGTCAGCGCACTTAGCTACACCTTACTAGTTCTCATCAGCCAAGCCATTTAACCTGAAAGAAAGCGGAAAGATTTCAAACAAACGTATCATAGGCTTAACAATTCCAACCGGCGGAAGGCAGACCAGTTGGCTATTTACAACCATGACCCGGAGTTAGACTAGGGTCTATCGAGAAACAGCTCCAGCTCAGTGGTCAGAGCGGGACTTGAACCCGCGACCTCCGGTTTTTGAGTCCGGCGCCCTAAGCACGCTGCTTCCAATAAATAAATCAGTCGAGACAATTGTATTTGTGAAGCAAGACACGGGTCAGTTGATTTTCAGATGTAGGATTGGGACCGAATGCTTCATCCAGCCTGTTACCCAGGCCTTAAGCTAACTCTTGACGTCTCGTCTGACGTCATATAGTACGTTTTTTGGCGGGATCAGCTTCTCTTGTTCGCGTCAGGCCTTCAAGAAAGAGACAACCTCTGGAGTCGACTACCGACTGAAGCCAGTCACTATAGTGCAGATTCAATTTGTATTATTTGATTCGTTTGGACTATTTTTATCAGACTGCATGTCAGTATGATGAAGGGCCGAGCCAACTATAGTTAACAAACCGTTTTTTTTTTTCCTCTAGGGCTACGGGTAAAATACTGAAAGCGTACGCACAGGACTTCGAAGCTCTTTCTCAAGATGGCCACATGTTTGTTATTGTTCAGAACACTGGATATGTCACGGCCGACTTTGCTGCAAGTGGTTTTAATTTACATTTTAGCGTAAACATTTCAACTTGTCTTTAGTTGTGAACAGATGTTTTTTGCTTGAGTTGATTAAGGTACGTTTTAAGCTTTGCCAAATAATGTTTGAAATTATTGACGGCTGCAAGGTAAAAAGGCGAGAGATCAGAATGTTTGCTGGATGTAAAGAGCCCGGGGGGGGGGGGGGGGGGGGGG